ATTCCCATCATTCCCATCATTCCCATCATCCCCATTCCCATCATTCCCATCATTCCCATCCCCATTCCCATCCCATTCCCATCATTCCCATCATTCCCATTCCAGGGTGGCTCCCCCCGGAGCTGGAGCCCCTTTGGAGCCGCTGCCTCCGACCGGGACCTGCGGAGGCTCCGATTGAGAGGGAGGTGGGAAGGGAACGGGAATGGGAGCGGGAATGGGAGCCGGGATCCGGGATGTGGGAATGGGATCTGGGAATGGGGATCGGGATCTGGGAATGGGACCCAGGATCGGGAATGAGACCTGGGAATGGGACCCGGGATCTGGGATCGGGAATGGGATTCGGGATCCGGGATCTGGGAATGGGATCTGGGAATGGGAATGGGAGCCGGGAATGGCATTTGGGATCGGGAATGGGATCCGGGATCTGGGAATGGGGATCGGGATCTGGGATCGGGAATGGGAATGGGATTCGGGAATGGGAATGGGAATGGGAACCGGGATTGGGGATCAGGATCCAGGATCGGGAATGGGATCTGGGAATGGGATTCAGGATCCGGGATTGGGGATCGGGATCTGGGATTCGGGATCGGGAATGGGATCTGGGATCGGGAATGAGACGTGGGAATGGGACCCGGGATCTGGGATTGGGAATGGGATTCGGGATTGGGAATGGGATTCGGGATCTGGGATCGGGAATGGGATTCGGGAATGGGATCTGGGATCCAGTATTGGGAATGGGATCTGGGATCCAGGATCAGGAATGGGATTCGGGATCCGGGATCTGGGAATGGGACCCAGGATCAGGAATGGGATCCAGGATCGGGAATGGGATTCGGGATCCGGGATCTGGAATCGGGAATGGGACCTGGGAATGGGATTTGGGATTTGGGAATGAGAGCTGGGAATGGGATCCAGGATCTGGCAATGGGATCTGAGATCCAGGATCAGGAATGGGAATGGCATCTGGGAATGGGATCTGGGATCGGGAATATGATCCGGGATCTGGGAATGGGATCTGGGATGTGGGAAGGGCCCCGGGATCCTGGATGGGATCCGGGGATCCAGGAAGGGGTTTGGGATCCGGGATCGGGGCCCTGGGATCCCGGATGGCTCCGGATGGCTCCGCATTCCGGGATTTGGGATCCGCATTCCGGGATGTGGGATCCGCATTCTGGGATCCGGGATCCACATTCCGGGATCTGGGATCCGCATTCCGGGATTTGGGATCCGCATTCCGGGATTTGGG